TTTGTTGTTTGTTACCATGGTCGACATTAATGAGAGGAACTGGCGAGATCATTTATGCTGTGCTCGCGTGCACGATGGCTCGAGGCGTGAGATATTGATTATTCGAACACAAAAAAAGCAAATTGCATCTCATTTGTGTTTCGACGGCAATAATTCGTTGGGTCTCCGGTACACCAATTAATGATTCGTCGGAACACCTGAGCTAATCGTGTTCGTACATGCGTAAAATTTTCAAGCATCTCTTACCATTAACCCGTCCCCAACTAGCTAAGCTCGTAATCGGACAATTCGAATATTCAAGGCGACACGATTCACACAAATTCGTGACACTCGATTGTTTACAAATTGTTGTCCATATTCGACCATTAAAAAACATTGATAAAAATAACCTTCATTAATGACTTGCATATGGTAGCATGCATTCGCTCGCATAAAACACTGCGCACGTAAGGTTAATTGGATGTTCGTACCCGTTGCAGGCGGTTTATTTGTTTATTCAACCTACTTTGAATCTTAATAGTAATTTTCCTAGCATAGAGTAACCATCTTTCCTCCTGCATTACTGTTGTTATGTTTTCATGTTTTTTTTTCACCCGACAATCAGATCGGGGCAAGGAATCGTACGTCATCAAAATTCGCCTAAAGGAATCATCACCAAGGAACTTCTCGCCAGAAAATGTGTGGTGGCGGTGGACGCGATTGACACAGAAAAAACCGGATCTGCCGTCACAGTCCACATTCTTTTCTTATCGCATCGCAGAACGATCAAAGTCAGACAGGACCCTTGGGTCCAGACCATACGTTATTTGAACGACGCGTCACCATTTTTTCTCACCGTCATCGCGTTCTACCCGGTTTGACTGGCACCGATCTCTTTCTTCCTCGACGTGTGATCAAATGACGCTCGCTCGGTGACACTCGTGTCCAGAGATCGGATGACCACATGGCGAGATGACCTCGGCACCTCCCAGTTGACAACGACGAAAGGATCAACTATCATCGTGGAAACCTTGTGCACGTCATGACTCATCAAAGGTTGAGGCATAGGAAATTCGGAATTCCGATGTGTCACTATTCCACCATCGTCATCTCACAAAATCACCATCTATCATACACGAAAAGTCGTAATACCGAATCTCTTTGTGCACCTCTTATCTATATCATGTTCTTCGGTCAACTCCTCCTGTTTGTTTACATCAAAAAGTTTTTTTTTCTTGTATTGGTGTTTGAGAATTTCTTACGCACCACCTCTTTAAATAAAACCATTAAATGTTTCTCCAAACATAAACAATGGCAAATGACGATCAAACAAATGATTTATCATGCGAAAATGTCGCGAGAATTTTTCGATCGTGGAATCTTTTAATGAAAGACAACGGTTGTAAAGTCGATCCAATCCACTTGCCATAATTCATGAGCCCACGGTTGTTGTTTTTTTTTATAACATGATGTGATGGGGTGCTAATCAAATTTCATCTGTTCGATCTGATAACGAGACGGCGGTGTGATTAGTGAACGTCTTCTGACGGTTTGAAATCTTTGTGCTGCGACCAGGAGAAAGAAGCGCGAGATTGTGGTTTAAAATTTTCGTGACCCTTACCCGTTATGTTAACATTGTATTGGTGAGATGACAATAGTAATTCTCGATGATGCCGATACAACCATTTCTTAGGAATGGGTGTGTGTGCAAAATTATTTGTTTTGTTATGTTATGGTGACCTTACGTGCACAAATCAAACTTGGTCATCTCATCCACCGA